TAATCTTTAGGTATCAAATAGAATCATAGATAAATGCTGGGGAAAAAGAATACCAGAAACATAAGTTTTTTGTATTGCAATTCCATTTCCTCTTGAGAGAATGATATTGTTATTAAACAGTGTTTTTAGCCCAAGTCGCAGGCCATCTTTTAATATTTTTGAAAAGCTTCCAATTAAAATAGAAAAAAAGAAGATCCTTTAGAGATTTTGTTTTTCCAATGACACTTTGGAAAGCTAGATGGTTTTTTTTTTTTTACCTTTTCAGGAAGCATCAGCCCCATGTTTTCCTTCCTGTAACAGTGTAACATTTGTATAATCATGTCTCTTAACTCCTAGCTGCTGCCAGTGGCTCAGGTTTGCAATTCTAGCTATTTGGGAGGCTGAGATAGGGAAGATCATAGTTCCAGGCCAGCCCTGGAAATGAAGAAATTTCTTTCTTTCTTTTTTTTTTTTTTGTAAACACTATGTGAAGATTTTATTTATTTCTATTTTTTTATCATTTCTCCCCAGTGCCCCACCCCCTCCCTTACCACCCACTCCGAAGAAATTTCTTGAAGACCCCATCTCAATGACAAAAAAGCTGAGCATGGTAGCACGTGCCTATTATCTCAGCTACAGAGGAAGAAAGCTTTAAAAAAAATAGGAGGACAATAGCACAGGCTGGCCTGGGCAAAAAGCAAGACCCTACCTCCAGAAAAACTAAAGCAAAAAGGACTGGAGGCATAGCTCAAATGGTAGAGCACCTGCCTAGCAAGTGCAAAGCCCTGAGTTCAAATCCCAGTACTGCCAAAACACTAATGACAACAAAACAAACAAACAAAAAACTTATTTCTTTTGCACACACAATAGAGAAACTGTTGCTTCACAAAGTGGAAATATCAGTCACAGATTCCTAGAAGCTTAAAACAAGAAGGAATGTCAAGTATCGTTTTGTCCATTTTTTCACTGTACCGATGAGAAATGAGGCTACAGCAATTAAGTGATTTGCTCCTGCTCTTGGTGACAACTGGAACATGAATCCAGACTAGATCAGATTTGTGTTCTTTACACTCTTCTCTGCATCCTATGTCTACCCAAAAGCTATACTCTTTTAGCTTTTAGTGTCTCGTCACAGTTCAGCTGAATAATGTGACCACAGGCCACAATGAAGCATAAACAACGTGAGGAGAGCTGCCTTGATTTCCCTTTGTCCACAAGCATGTCAAGACACATACTGCATTAAAGTAAGCAATGATCGTCACACTCTATTTAAAATGCAAACAGGATGCATTCAATTCAGAAATGCTTTTGCAAAGAAGGAAAAATGGGGAACATCATTTTCTACTGCCAATAGTTGCTATGCTCTGAGATGTATACCACTTAAAACACATTAAAAACTAATGTAAATGTATGTCTGACTTAAGGACTCCAAACCTCCTGAAACATTCCCTTTCTCACTAGAAAGTTTTCTACATACATTGAAACTCTAGAAAAACAAAGTGATTTGAATGCTCAAGAGAAAAAGATAAAAACAAAACAAAACAAAAACCAAAACACCAATTCCAGGGGACAGCTTAGATCTAATTTCGTTCTTGATGAGATCTATTGACTGTGCACCGAACCATTCTTAGCTAGGGTATAAGCTGATCTTCAATTTCTGCTAAGTAGAATATCTTCTCATTATTACACAAATACCACCATCAGACTAGAGAATAATTTGGGAGTGCCTGCAGCTTTTGTAGCAACCCTCAGCAAGTGATGCTGTCTTGACAATATATGAAACTGTCTCCAACCTGGAGCCGAAACCACAAGAGGTTAGCAAACAAGCCCTGTAGTATTGTTTTAGGAGAAGCACAGTGATAGTGCTGCACTTCCTCCAGGCCTCCTCTTTCTTTCTGAACGAACTCCAGGGAATGGCGTCACATCAGGCTTTCCAGATGGATTATGTGAAGCCATAGCTCAATGTCATTTTCAATAGGACGGCTCATAATTAAAGGTCAAATAGTCACTTCATCTGCAATCAATCAATAGAAAAAGTACTAATACGAAGAACTAATCAATCAATGGCAAATGCTCTAATAAAAGCAATGAATCAAATTCAGCATGTGTGTAGAAGTAAGTACAGGGAAGAGACTGAGACAGGGCAAAAGTAAGAACAATAAAATAAACTGAATATATATATATATATATATAATATATATATATATATACATACATATATAAGAGAACATTCAGGAAGCTTCTCAGCAAGTTTTCAACTAATGTTACAAGGGTACCACTGGCCTACAATGATTTATTCTTAAATACAAACACTAGATGAAATAATAAGTGGTATTTTGTAAGTTTCACTTAATGTATTTTATTTGAGATGTGTGCGTGCAGTGGGGTAAAAATCACTAGAAGAAATATTATTGCAGCAATTGCAAAAGGAAAGATATATTGCTGAAGTACCAAATGGCCATATTGTAATCTGCTGTATTTCTTCTTTGTATGAGAAGAGAGAAAATGTTATGCTAGTGATATTACCTGAAAATTCCCCCTACTTTCTGGGATACAAAGGTTTCACCCTCAATGTTCTTCCTGTTTCAGTAGATGAGAATTTCCATCAGATAACCAATCAGCACCACACATCCTCTGCATCAGTGACTTCATGTGAAAATGCACATAGTAGGTTTATAGTGCTTACCAAGCCCATTGTGGTGATCACATGGAAGTATCCCTGGTCTATGAAGAAGGATGAGCTCTTTGAAATAAGGGAAGCAGTAAAAAGGCTGTTTTCATAAACACTTCCAGGAGATGAAGGGAAGAAGCTGGGTTTGATCAAAGGATTGCAGAATGTTTGAGATGGAAACAAAATTCCCTAATCTCAGAGCCAAGGGAATTGAGGCAGGGTCATGTATTCAGGTCTTATAGTTCCAAGAGAGTTAAGACTGTCATGTTCTAGAAGTAGCTAAGGATTTACACTACTTCATGGTTACTAGATACCATACTAATGTCTTACTGCAGGGTCAGATTGGAAGATTTAAGTGTCTATTTCTTGGAAAACACTACAAAAGTAGACATTAAAAAAATCCAAGTCAGCCCAACCCTCTTGGGAAAACACTACAAAATCAGACATTAAAAAAATCCAAGTCAGTCCAACCCTCCTTAGCAAAACATCTGCCCGATCAGCTTTCAGAAAGCATAAAGAGCAAAAGAGGGCTGGGGTGGCTCAAGTAATAGAACACCTGCCTGGCAAATGCAAGGCCCTGAGTTCAAACCTCAGTATCACTAAGAAAAAAAAATGTGACTTTGGGATTAAGAAAAATGAAAAGAATAAAAGGTTTGAAAGGATAGGAATTTTTCTTATAAAAAAGAGAAGAATACTGATCACACTGAAGTATGCTTCTGCGTATGATTCTTACTTTGTTCAAGGCAGCAAGCTGCAGCACAGAAGAACATCATGGAGAAATAGAAATCCCCTGCTCTGGTTTTCCTATCAAAAGCAAATCCCTAGGAGGGGGTCAGGTTTAACAGCCCACTGCAGAAATGCAGCAATGCATTTGGGGCAGCCACAGTTCACGGTGTGCTCTAAGGACATGGGTGTACCTGACTCCAGCCTCCGAAAACCTACTAGATAGAGCCTCCATAATAATACACAGTGGGATGGGGTGTGAGATGATATCTTTAAAGCCAACAACTAAAGCATACTTGTTACATGAAAATCTATAAGGGTCAGGCAACTGGAACCCCAGAAACAGGGTTAATAATGAATAATATTAATTAATAACAATTAATAGAGGACCTGTGTGCCAGGCAAAGAGGGGATCTCATCCACTGCATACCTTATTATCCATCAAGTGCTGTGTTTAACAAATTGTCTTCAGTTTTTACAATGATCTTACAAAGTAAGTACTATTTGCATATTTCACAAATAAAAAAGCTAAGGTTCAGGGAAGTTAACTAAAAATCAAGATTGGAATATGGCTCCCAAGCTCTTTCAATTTCAGTAAAGCTCTTTCAACTTCAGTTTGGTGATAGTTATGAACAAAACCAATGAAATATACTGCAATCCATGGATAGTGTGTGTATGTATGTATATACACACACATATATATATTTATATATTTTTTCAAATAAGCTTTAGTTCTAGACAACAACTGCTCCTTGAAGAGTTTGTCCTATTTTTATATCATTTTCAAAACTTGGTAAGACTGGCAAATACTCTATTGGACAATTATGTTTAGGATCAACAAAAACATCATGAAATTTCTTTGCTTTTTAGTTTACAGATGGCATCTCTTTACATATGAAAACTTAGAGCAATGTCATTATTCTTCATTCTCTTAAGTGAGTGACATGTCAAAACAATGATGAATTTTTAATGAGTTTTTGCTACAGCATCCCTCCTCTCCCCAAGAAGTTTATGAATGATTTCAATAAAGTTTCTGATTACTTAATGACTTTTAATGACATCTAGGAGGTTATTGGGATGACACTAAATTGGATAAAGTTAAGTAGAAAATAGCACTTCTTTTCAATGGATTGTGTTTCTTTAAAGAAAACAATGTAACATTCAAAAGTGAACCTCAAACTAATGTTGATATCAAATTAGGGAAGCGTAAAATTATCTCCTCTTGCTTTTAGCTCCCAGAAAAGAATTTAATATTTTCTAAGGGCAACTCCAGAGCCCGGTAAGCAAAGTTTTGCCAATTCCTTTTTCAGAAATGGTTTCTCTACTCCCATCCCCACCCCACCCCAGCAGAATGTTAGCATTCTGCATTGATCATCTTTTATGAGAACTGAAAAACACGATTTCAAGTTAAGCTAAATCTGACGCTATTGAATTTTGGCCCTTAGAAACTGGTTTGATGAAATAAACAGTATTTCAAAGCAATGACCCACCCTCACTTAGCTTTTGTTTTCTGTCTAACAGAGTGGACAAGACCCCATTCCATTTAACTTGAAGAGTTCCATGTGCCTCACAGTTATAAGACATAACTCGATGAGGGTCATAAGCAGTTAACTTGTGAGTCACTTACCCAATGTGAGAGACTTGTGTGTAGAACAGAACATGATAGCTACTGTGTCTGCTGGTGTGAAGCCCGAGTTATTCCTAGGGACAAAAAAAAAAAGAGTATTTTTTTGGATAAATACTTACATAAAAGTTTATTTAGCACACCCTAAGTCAAATGTAGTACCTATCTTCATGTTAACATCCCTTGATCAACCCCAGTGACAGAAGTTATTCTAGACCATAGCACCTAGAAGAACCCAACTTTACTGTTAGAGAATCACTTTCTGTGTCATTTATTCATGGAAAGGAGAAGAGTTTTTTTTTTTTAAAAGAAGTTTGGTGGGGGTCTCCTGAGATCACATGTGTAACAAGATCATGGTGCATGACTTTGTGAAAATAATGCAGTGAGGACTTATTTTTGACTTGTCTCCAGGTCACTCTCAACACCTAGCAGCTTGAAAGGATTACTGCATCTTCAAAAATGCTTCTCAGGGAGAATGCATCCTCTTTTCAGCACACATATGGTGCCATCATGTTTTAGAGAATGAACTGTATTTTTTTTGGGCAGTTATTAGGGATATCAGGCACTTCTCAAAGGTCTTTATACGCATATAAAGACAATAACCTGGAAAGGTACCCCTACTTACAGACAGGAGAACTGAGACACACAGAAATCATGTGACTTTTTTAGGGCCCCTTGCTAGTAAGTGACAAAGCTTACTAGCTCCCGTTACTGGCTGCTCCCGTTCCTTGTTCTACTCCTAGGTGAAGCATTAAAAAAAATCTCACTTCATCAGAACTGATTAAATGTATGGAGGGACAGATATCATAATCAAATTTTCTATGCCGGATTACAAAGGTTTAGGGAATCATGAGTCAAACAGATAAGAAATGTAATTATGATTACTTCACCCTGATATTTCAGAAACTACTCTTCCCTATAGAATTAGGATTTGATGTTACAGTGAATCTATTCATTCCCTGCCCTGAACTCTGACATTTTTTCACTGAAAAATGCTGCAGACCCAGGCTATACAGATAGAACAACCCACTTGATTTTTAAGGATAGCTAATGAAAGAGAGTCCACATTTGCCTTAGTAACCTCATCCCCATGCAAAACATTTACTGGGAGAAAAATTATAATCTCTTTTTAGGAAAGTCCATATATAGATGCCACATCCTGTTTTCCTTGTCTTCCTCAGCAGTCCATGTGCAGGTGTTCAGAGAATATTGAAATGCCTGTGGTCCTTCTCCCCTGAAATCCCATGCATGTTCCTGCTTATGAATCTACCTTTCTTCCAGCCCTTCCCCCCCCCCCCCCGCTTTTTTTGTAGTACTGGGATTTGAACCCATAACTTTTATGATGTCAAGCCAGGCACTTTTACCACATGAGTCACACCTCTAGCCCCCTAGCTTTTTCATATCAATTGAATTTTTGGTGTCTCACCTCAGTTGAGAATTCCCCACATATACATAACACCTGAATATACCTCACTATTCCACATTTGACTCTCATGGTTGTATTATGACACTGTTCTTGTTTTGTAAACATTGCACCGTAGGATGGACATATTTACATATTTCACATTCCTTTATTCCTCATGGTCAGCCTAATGGAGAAGGTGCTCTGTAAGTTCTGCAAATGCCATGAGGCAAGAGATGAAAGGAATACAGAACAATACTGGGAAGGGGAGAGAGAGGAAGAGGGGAAAGAAGGAGAGGAGGAGAGAGAGAGAGAGAGAGAGAGAGAGAGAGAGATTTGCTATTGAAAGGATTACCTCTAGCTTGACAAGGGAGTAGGACATCATGCTAGAGCACAGAGAACCTTCCAGGAGGTTGGGATGGTGAAACTGTAGAGTGGGCGCACAGTATGGACAGTTGGCGAAGAGCAGATTCTTCAGGCTGCCTTGTGTGTAGGGATGCTGGCTTGGGGCCAGGAGTGTGGACTTGGTAGGATTAGGGGAGCCACCGAAGGACCTGGGGCACTAGAGTGATGTGATCAGACCTGTTCTAAGGAAAAGTAATTCCACAGCACAAAATAAGACAGAAGACGGTGAGGCTGGCAGGAAGCAGGGAGCTAGAAGTGTCCGCAGAAGGGCAGGAGATGGTGATAAGACCCATGGAGTTTGGATGAATGGAACTTTTCAACTGCTAAGCTCTACACAGTATTTCCTCCCAGCAGCTTATAAGCACAGGCTTAGAGGACAAACACACCTGATTTTAAATCCAGACCATCCTTTTGCTTATATGTAAAATGAAGATAATACTACATGCCTCTTGGAGCCGCTGTGAAGGTAAATGCTGACATTTGTTAAGAATCTGGTACATGATAAGTGGTAATACATGCTGGTCAATATTTTTATTGTCATAATTATTATATGAAGAGAGAAAGACATGTCACTCATCCATAGGGAGAGAGGTGATGCTGAGGCCTGGGACAGAAGGCACATTGGGGACTGTGGCATACAGTCAGCTCACAACGAGTAAGAACTTCCATGCAGGAAGAAAAGGCCACCCTGACTACAAGACATGCATCCCAGTCTGTGGCCTGGGTTGGGGATGTCCCCAGAAGTGCATGTGGTGTTAGTGACACTCCAAAGTCCTCTGTAGTCTTTTGCAGTCCTTATTTAGAGGCAGTCATTGTTGCATCTGGGTTTATGCAGCTTAGTTTCCTTCTCGGGCAGTTTGGCAGCATGCTTCTCCTTTAGCCATCTCTGTTCTGCTCGATATTTGCTCTTGTTCCGATTGCAGCATGTTCCAGCGTGTCAAAGTCTCTCTGGTCAAGGAGGCTCTGATTGGACCTGGTGCTGGTTACCACTCGCTAGTGCAGTGCTTCCAATGTGGCTAAATGGGACACTTGCAGGGGATGCTCGCTGTCCTGTTTCAAACTGCACATTGCTCTGTAGTTCTCTGGCACAAACTGCATTGGGGGCAAGGGAGAAGAAGGACTTGAGGGCCTAAAAGTGCTTCCAAACCATATTCTTCCTCAGTAGGGCTGATCTGAACATTAGCTCTGCAATGACAGTGTCTCTGCAGCATGGATCCCAGAGAAGGCTCCCAGAGGAGGCATGCACAGGGCCCAACCTTCACCACCACAGAGACCTCAGCAGTCCTTTGCTAAATATTCACTTTCAGTGTGTCATCCTCCTCCAGATCAATGGCATTATTGACCTACTCTTCCTAAAAAGGGAACTTGAAGCACCGCCTCCCTAAAGTCACATGACTAGGAAGTAGCCCACCTCAAATTCTGGAGAACAGTTTGCCTTCTCAGAAAGAAAGCACATTAAAAAAAAAAAGCAAAACAGCAAAAAATACTACAAAATTAGCTATCTTGGTCAGTAATCCATGCTTGGCTATATTCTATCAAGAGTGGCTTTGTGGCACAAGGTCGTGACAATGCACACAGGCAAAGTGCCCAGTAGTGATGACTACAATTATTTCTGTGATGGGCACTGTATTGTGTCTGCTCACATTCTTGAAAGGAATAACGTTACTATTTATTTTCTAACTCTACCTTATCTCTTTTTAATATTGATTTTTCTTTTTATCCTGTTTTTTATAATTCTTTTGATCACTTTGGCTTCCCCTGAGATGTTTATTTCCTTTTCTTCCCAACTGGTCTTTTTATTCTCTTTTACAAAGCTTTCAATCAGTGTTTTTCACGTAATATTTACTTTGCCTTTCTTTGGGTACCCACAGAGGAAAACATGTCAAGTTTTGCTAGTAGAAGCACAGAACATGGAGCAGAAAAGGTCCTTAGAGAGAGTTCTGTCAAAACTCACTGTTTTCAGAGGAGGAACTTCCATGTGAGACACTTTCCTTTGTTAACCTCTGTATTGGTGTTTTGTCATTATTTTTTGAAGAAGACATTGTCCATCATTAGCTGTGTGGCACTGAACAAGTTACCCAGAGTTCCCAGGCTGGGCTGCCTCATCTCCAAATGGTAAGGAAACTTGACACTAGTAATAAAGTCTGTATTCCTTCCTCCTCCTTCCCTCCAGCCTTCCCTCCCTCCCTTTCTTGCCTTTCCTTCCTGCAGCCCATCCTCCTCCTCTCAGGGCTGAGGACTGACACTGCTAGCCTGAAAGGTGCTGATAAGGATTAAAGCAGGGATATGATTACTTAATATTTGTTTTCTTCCTTTTCCTTTCTTAAAGGTTTTTTCCCCCATGTGGTAATAGGGTTTGAACCTACATCTTGAGCCACTCCATCAGCCCCTTTTTTTTGAAGGGTTTTTTCAAGAGAGGGTCTCTTGAACTATTTGCCTGGGCTGGCTTCGGACCACAATCCTCCTGATCTCTGCCTGCTGAGTAGCTAGTGTAGGCATGAGCCTACACTCTAGTGATGCTAGGTTTCTGCTACTGTAGTTATCAGCTTACCAAATTGTCTTTCATATATTTTTAAAAGATTCTCAATTATTTCTTTCTCTTTCTAAGCTTTTTCAACTTTTTCTTAAAACCCTAAATTTCCTCAAGTTGCAGAATCTTAGGTCACTGTGAATAGCTCTTGGTTTGATGAATCCACTCTCATTTCCTAGCAATTGTGGCAGAGAAAAGCAACATATACTGCGTAAGTTAGAGTAGCTACTTCCTTCTCTTCCACTGATCACCAGTTTTTCATGTAATAGAAACTATCTTGATATACTAAATATTCCATAGCAACTAACATTTATTGAGCACTTACTAAATGCTAGGAATAATGCTGAGGGCTTATATGTGTACCTATCAATTCTGCAAATGTTCCTGTGAGATAGGCTGTCTCCACTTTTTACATGAGGAAACTGACAAAAGTTACAAAGCTATTAAATAGGACTGGACCCCAAAGTCTGTTTCCAGCATTGGACTTTTGAACCCTCACCCTATTCTATAGACATACAAATGAGAACACAGAATAATAGCTCTCAAAACTATTTTAAATGCTCACTGGCATTCAATACTAAGATTTTTGTTTCTTGGTAGCCAGACTGGTTTTAGATTTATTGAACTGGTAAGGAAAAAATGAACATGCATGTAGACACACACACACACACACACACACACACACACACAGTTCAATTTCACATAGGAAAGAACCAGAAGTAGGAAAAGAAAATGGAACTCAGCAGAGTACAAACCAGTGGGTCCTAGTGCAAACTCTTAGGATCTGGGGGAAAGCCACAGAGCCTGCCTAGAAGCACAAAGCCTGGGGTTCAAACCCCAGAACCAAACTCTTGGTGTCTTTGACTAATGTTTTTGTGTGTATGTGTGAATGTGAAGAATGCAGCTAAATACTCTCACAAATTCTCCAGCTAAAACAACTATTATAAATTTAAAAAGTAATTAAAATAGTTGAGAGTAGTGGAAATGGGCAGAAGTGAAATGGATTTCAATTCTAGATGTGCTATTTGCCATATGACTTTGGGTGAGTTATAAAATGAATGAAACCGGATTTTAGGCAAGTTACTAAAATAAGCTATTCAAAGGATGCATCCTCACCTTCAAAACAGCAGTAAAAACGCATAAGATCATAATCTTGCTGTCAGATTTACACAGAATACAATCCCTAGGACAGGGCCTGGCATGCAGTAGGTGTCTTTCACTCCTCCAATACAATTCTTAGATTCATGGGCTCTCTCAGCACGAAACAGAACATGAAATCCATCTTCTAACTTTTCTCCCTTTGAAAACCCCCCAATTTTTAATATTTCAGAGCTACACAATCGTTATCCTGGAACACAGTTACAGCTGGTCCATATTCTATTGTTTAGCAAAGAATGCACACATCTATCTGAACGTTTCAAAGCATGACAGAATTTTAGGGCTGGCAGAATAAAGCAGAAAAGGAGGACCTCAAAACCAAGATCCCCTGAAAGACCAGTCTATCACAAGCTGTAAATTGTTAATTTTAATTCAACTTGTCCCCAAATCCTCTTGCCCCCTTTCCCCTTCAGCAATAGTGGCTGCTTGGTGTTCTATCTTTTGAAGGACTTTTTCAGTCACTAACAGGATATCTGCATCCCACATAATCGATAGGATGACTGGCTTCTGCCACAAGGCCCAGCAAACACACAGTCAATGAGCAGCAAATGTCTTTTCTAAGGAGACAATAATAAGCCATTCACAAAAAGAACTTTCAAATAGCTTTAACTCTCAGACTTACCCAATTAAGTCACATTTTCTCTGTGACTTAATGGCTCCAGGCTTTATTCTCACTTCATAAATCACAACTCAAGCTTGGGAAAATGCTTCAAATTACATCAATCAATATGTTTTTATTGACTGTGTACAATCATTCCAGTGCTATATCAAGAGCTGTAAGACCCAAGTGCTCATGCCAGCCTGCATCCCCCACCCAGGGCCCTGACACTATTCCAAGCCTCACAGAAGCCGAGGCTCTGTCACCTTGTGGGAACTCACTGCCTTCACCAGCAGTTCAGGGCCCTGAAAGAGGCCTAAGCCTACCTTTCCCACGCCTTGTATGACTTTTAATCCTCCTCTTCTCCTGTTGTCCCACCAGGTCTGCTTGTGTGCACGTCCATGTGTGTATAATTGCTTCTCCCACAAGAGACCGTCTCTGCATCACTGTTTACTAAGCAATTAGCTGTTTTTTTTTTTTTTGACTCATGTCAAACTGCATCTCTCCTGTGAAGTTGGCTCCACCACTCCCTTTGGGAATGCTTTCTTCTGCTTTGAGTGGGCCACAGCTTGGTTTACTATACCACTCAGAAGACACATATTCAGTCTGTATCCTCGTGCAGGATTGGAATTGCCTCTTATTTGTGGCATTCACTGTGGTAACTTTCTTAGTAATATCAAGTGAAATGAATAATACTGGCATTGATGTCAAGTTAGGCTTTAAGAATAGGAAAAATGAACAAAGATATGGAGACCAAGCTGGATATGGGGATGGCTTAGGCAAGGCACAGAAATGAGAAAGTATGAAGTTCTTCCAGGAAACAGCCAAGAGTTTACTTCAACCTAAAGCTCAGGCAGTTGAGTGTCTGTGGTGACTCATGAGATAGCTAAGTGGACCTGACGACCTTGCACTTATTTTTTTTTTTTTATTTTTAAATGACAGTTCTTTGTATTTTTTTTCATTTTTCTTTTATTATTCATATGTGCATACAAGGCTTGGTTCATTTCTCCCCCTGCCCCCACCCCCTCCCTTACCACCCACTCCACCCCCTCCTTCTCCCCCCCCAATACCCAGCAGAAACTATTTTGCCCTTATTTCTAATTTTGTTGTAGAGAGAGTATAAGCAATAATAGGAAGGAACAAGGGTTTTTGCTGGTTGAGATATACAGGGCATTGACTCACATTAATTTCCTGTGCGTGGGTGTTACCTTCTAGGTTAATTCTTTTTGATCTCACCTTTTCTCTAGTTCCTGGTCCCCTTCTCCTATTGGCCTCAGTTGCTTTTAAGGTATCTGCTTTAGTTTCTCTGCGTTAAGGGCAACAAATGCTAGCTAAGTTTTTAGGTGTCTTACCTATCCTCACCCCTCCCTTGTGCGCTCTCGCTTTTATCATGTGCTCATAGTCCAAACCCCTTGTTGTGTTTGCCCTTGATCTAATGTCCACATATGAGGGAGAACATACGATTTTTGGTTTTTTGAGCCAGGCTAACCTCACTCAGAATGATGTTCTCCAATTCCATCTATTTACCAGCGAATGATAAGATTTCGTTCTTCTTCATGGCTGCATAAAATTCCATTGTGTATAGATACCACATTTTCTTAATCCATTCGTCAGTGGTGGGGCATCTTGGCTGTTTCCATAACTTGGCTATTGTGAATAGTGCCGCAATAAACATGGGTGTGCAGGTGTCTCTGGAGTAAGACCTTGCACTTAAAAATGAACTTCATTCTACAGGCCTGGGCTACCCATTGAAGAGAGTCAGTGTCAGAATTTTGAGTCACTGGAGACAGAATAAAATGCAAAAGAAAGGTTGGGCCCAGAAATGGAGTTATTAGTAAGATACACAATGCAATAGGTTAGAGAGAAAAGAGGCAGCAAGAGCCTGAGTTAGGGAAGTGGCTTTGGGAGCAGAATAAATATTACAGGAGTGGGATCAAGACATCAAGATATTTAAAAAATAATGATGTGAAGGACTTCAGTTTAGTAACTCTGGGGATAGCTCCATTTAAAATAAAGAAATAAAAAGGGAAGAACAGGAGGTTTGGGGGGAAATACTAATTTCCTTTTGAATATGTTGGGTCTAAGGATTTGTTGAGACAATCAGCAGAAGATATCTAAATGATAAGGAAAAAAAATAGTGCTACAACTTAAGGAAAACACTGAATGGGGGGTCTAGACTTGAAACCACCAGTATGAAGCTGACAGCTGAAGCCAGCAGCATGGGGGAAATTGTCTTAGCATGTGATGTGGGTGGAGCAGATAGATGAGACAAGGGCCAAAGACAGATCCTTTGGTGATGTCTACAGTTTGACGATGGCAGAAGTGAGCCAGAATGGTCAGTGAGACAGGAGGAAAAATAGGACAGTAGAGAAATCAACAGTAATTCCTTCCTCAGGAGACTAACAAGAAGAGATACCAAGTCAAGTGACTTACCTGGTTGAAAAGATGAAGGTTAAAAGCATGAAACTCAGCTGAATAGAAACTACTGAAGACAAAAAAAAAAAAAAAAGATTGAATCTAAATTACTGTTATAAAAGCAGTATCTATAGCATATTTACTGGTATGCATAGTTTTATTTGAAACTTAGGTGAATGCAAGTAGAAAAATGAATGAATAAACCAAACAAATGTACATTGTTAAATGATAGAATCACTGAAACTAGCAGGACTTAACCTATTCTTATTGACAATATCCCCAGACACAATCTATGATATCTATTCCTCAGGGAAAATCTAAAATCTTCTTTAAGATTTAGTTATTTGATTCTCAATTTAAAAACAGCTGGTTCATAATAAGAGTATATACAACAAAAAAGCACAAATGTGGTGCCATATAATATACACACCAGAATAATTCATCTTGATTTTTAACAACAGATTATTTGATGCTACAATATTAATAAAAGTTGTCTTTGGTATTGTAAAAATAAATGGTTGCTTTTTGAGCCTTAGAAGTTACTGGCATTTTATGGTTTGTTACTCCTTAAAATATACTTTGTGTATATTTTATTAGAAAATATGATACAGGTATTCATCTTTTAACCAATATAGCCAAATTATTATACATATAATAGTGTCATATACTGTAAGTCCTGTTTTTAAATCACAATATAAGATAATTTGAAGGATTTTAAACTTAATAATAAACTAAATTGGTGACAGACTGCTCAAGCTAATATTTGAATTTGACAGATAATCAGGCTTATCTCATCTAACATCACCTACAGCAAATCAGAAAATGGTGCATCAGACATAAAAAGCAAGGGAGACTAAGATCCTAAGTGCATAAGCGATATCTTCCAAAAGAACTTTACTCATGGTAAAGCCAGTGCGGAAACGTAACAAGGCTGAGTTCATTTCTAACCACATTAACATCAGAAACAAACTTGGAGGAGAGAATTGCTCCCCAGTGTTATTGAGGAGGCTGAGGACAGCACGGGGCCCGTCTTCCAACTCACTTATGAACATTATGAGCACGAGGCTGAGCTTATCCAGGTCAATGTGCGGGCTCGAGAATGTGTCACAGAATGTGGTGTAGATGATCATGAGAAGCACGCTGCTGCTGACAGCACCAAAAGGAGGTTTCTTTCTTTCAAGCCAATCCTTGATGTATCTGCGGACAATCTGAAATACAGAGATCAACAGGTTGCCTCTTTTCGGAGATGAAGGGAGCTGAGTTGGGCATCACAAAGTGATTCTGACAGCAGAAAGACATAAAGGAAAGAATAATTCGGATGGGGGCCACAGTGGATTTCAAAGCTTCTCCTCCACGCCACTCTTCTTGTGGGGAATCTAACATTTGTAGTGCATCTTCCACTGGGTGTCCATAATGAGAGTATATTTTCAACGGCTTCAAATCCATCCTTAATCATGCCAAATGCTCTTTCCTAGCTGTCACCGAGACATGCCCATTAAGCCTCCCCAAAGTTTATCTCCTCTACTGATCCTAATGGATGTGTGTAATTATCACAGTCCCCTTTGCCTCAACAGACAATTCCAAGTGCAACTTTGGGAATCTTAAAAATCTGACATCTTCAAGAATTTTAAGACAGTAGATAATCGAAAGTGATCCATGGAACATATTAATATTTTAAATGCTAGCAATGCACCAGAAGTTTTTAATTAAATTATAACTCATGCTTGAAAAGCAAAAGTGCATGTGTTGTGGGAGTTTAAATAATTCACACTCTGAATATCTAGAGTTCTTGTGAATCCAAAGACAAATGCCATTTGCATGCTTTTAGAATTCCAAAATTAACACTCAAAGATGAATAAACCTGTCCTCACATTCCTACAGAAGGAACAGTGAAATATAAAGTTTAGAACAATCTCTCTTATTTCAAAATCGAATCCCATAGTTAAAATCAGGACAGTATGAATACTGGTATTAACTTTCGTTTGGACATAAATGTGAACTACTCTACTTAAAACCTTGTTTCACTTTTGAAGTAGCTGTATTAGCCCTATTATAAAGATGATAGTTGAAACATTAAGTTCACTCATTATCCTGCATAATTGAACATGAGATTTCACAACAGGCTGAGTCACCATAGATCCATTAGCAATAATGAGGTCAGGGAACTTCTTTTGATAAGGCTTGATGGGGTTCTGATAACCACTCTGTCACCAAAAAGGCTTAATTCACACTGGAGCATCTCTTTACAGGTACTTAAGAACAAAATAAACTGCAGTAGTTACCCCCTTAGCCATAGTTTCATTTTTCTGCAGTTTCAGGGACCCCTGCTCATCTGCATTCTGAAAAATGTTAAGTGGAAAATTCCAGAAGTAAACAACTCATAAATGTTAAATACATTTTATTACAGTATATTGGTATAATTATTGCTGCTATCAATCTTTTATCATGCCTGATTTATACATTAAACTTCATCATAGGTATGTATTACAGGAAAAAGTCTATATGGGTTTCAGCACTATCCATGGTTTCGGCAGCGACTAAGGGTCTTAGGCCATACTCCCAAGGATAAAGGGGGACTCTGTACTCTCACTGGAGCCTCTGAACAAACGGCTGCTGGATCCACTTCACGCCTCTCAAGCGCTCGTGAAGTGAACTAGCAGTGTAAATAAAGGGAGTCCCAGAGGAAATCTGATCAGGTGGTACAAGGTATGGAACAAACCTTTCGAGGTTGGGGAGGGGGGCAGGAACAAAGAGAAAAAAGAGTGTTACATACAGATAAAAGTGGTTACATTTTTGAAAAAGTGGATCTTGTATTAAAATAATAACTGGGATTTATAAAATGTTATGTTTTGGCGATAGAAATGATCCCAAACCATGGTGATTTATCTAGCATTCACTTCTTTCCTTAAAGTTAAAACTGTAAAGAGAAATAAGAGCAGTTCTGTTATATAATATTATGGCTGATGTCTTAGAAAATAAACTTTGGATAGCAATGTTAGAGGTATTATGGGTGGCCCAGATGGCCCCATGTTCAAATATGGTGGCATGAGAAGGCTACCAAGGGCTTCATATAGAGGGTCACCTCATAATCTAGTGTGTTAGGTAGCAGAAAGCGGAGAGTTGCCTAAATTTAATACAACTCAGCTTCTGTTGGATAAATGGACAATATATGGAATAATTTAAATCTACTTTGTCCTTCAATTTTATTTTAATACACATGGTTAAAGGCACATAAGTTCTCTTTCTGCAACATGCTATAGAATATATGATCCCAATTACCAAAGAAAAAATGTCTTAACCTCCAACCTTCATGACCCCTTGACAAAATAAATACATGCAAATGAGATGTAACTTGAAAGCCAAAGCCATTTTAAAACCAAGACAAATATCTAATTGCCAATTAACTTTATGAACAGTAATCTGATTTAGTTAATTTAAGAGTTTCTTTCTTCATTACAAAGCACCTGGTCTCATAGCACAGTAGGATTCTTTCGATATGGCAAGAAACAAGGGCTGCTGAGTTCAGAATCCAACTACCATGCCTCTCTACTATACACATCCCTTGATTAATGCTGAAAACTAAATATCATGAAGAAAACACCTGAAAAGTTGGGACAGGATGGACCCACAAGTGAAATAAATAACAGCTTTAGAGGAAAATAGACTGTTGTGACATTTTTAGTATTACTGTGTTATCTCTATCAGCCATTTCATATATTTCCAGGTTCCATAGGGTTTTTTCATCTTCCTCTCAAATGAAGTTCACAAAGCTGCAGCTAAAATGTTTCATAAACAAAGTGAAGTAGTATTGAAAAGCCTCAGGATGGGCTTCCCTGTAAACTCCAGAAAACCTCATCTTTTAGCTCAGCAGCAGCAGCTTATACTGCTGACATGATCATTTTTCACACGCCCAAAATTCATGTCATTTAAAAATTCTCCAAACTTCTTTGCCTTTTTGAAAAAGTTAATAATCCTACAGGAAACAAGACTTTGGTAGAAACAGATCCTCACAATATCGTACTTTCAACAGAACCTGATACAGACATCTCTCTTAGGAAAGAAGACAAACCAAGATGAGATGGGATGAGGAATTTGGGGAGCTGGCCACTTTTATCTTTCTTCAAAACCTATACTAATTCATTGTCCTTAAGCTCAGATAAAGTTAAGCATTAAAAATTAAGTGACAAATCCTCCTTAACTTGTTTGGTTTTTCCCTGTGAAGAAGAAATTTTCCACAGGAAGCTTTTTTATTTTATTGTCTCATCTTCAACATTTTGATGTTTTTTTACTTTAAATTAAATAGCAGGAGAGGTTAAAGAAATTTAAATTTGTCTCTCTATATTCTAATAAGCTGAATTACATTCTGAGCTGGAAACCTGTAAAAATGACACGACTTGGGTGAAGAATGTCGATACACCAAGATAACTGGGAAGTACGATATTCATCATTTTAGTTTTTGTAATTTTTTGTCACGGTATTTCCTTGCTTTTTCTTTCTACTTGGTTTTTACATTTATAAATGGATTTTTGAGTGAGGCCATATGATAGATAATTTTTCATGTTAAGCCTGAATTTCAAAATTTATTTTTCTTCAATGTGGCTTTAAATTCTTTCTTTGATTTTTATTCTTTATTGCACTGATCATATATTGTCATAAAATGTTGTGTCTCTCTTTGTTAATCTCCTGATGAAAGGGTATTGCCATAGAGATGAACTCAAATTCAATTTATATAACATTTTTCTTTAAAAATGTTTTATTAGGTATTGATTAGATTAAAAAAATATTAATATCCTTTGCAAAAAATATAAATAGTAATAGATGGGTTCAATAAACATCTGTTATCTACTTCACTTCTGGAAAATTCTCTCCAGTATTACTTCATTTCATTCTCATAAGACTGTACAAATATTACCCTGCTGGGTTTATAGTTGAAAGCAAAGACACAGAGAGCCCAGGAAACTTGCGTAAAATGCTAAAGAGCTATTAGGTGGTGGGTGAGTAGGATATGACTGCTATTTCCGGAGGGAACCATAGCACAGGGTCAAGTCCCAACCATGGTGTGCCTGCCCTTGACTCCTAACTCTACTCCTTTGAAATCCTGAGTGAATTTCTTAACTTACGCATGCCTCAGCTGTATAACAATAGTTGTGGTGAGGATTAAGTAGTTAAGTGGATATAAAATGCTTAATATGGTAAATGAGCCCTGTTTTTGTTTCCAGGTTCCAGTTTGGTGATGTTTCCATCACTGTTTATTTTATGTCCCACTGAAGAATGTAACAACTTCATATGAAACAATGAAAAGAGTTCATACTAATACTTTATAAGTGCAAACTTTTATCAGTGTTAATAACACTAACTTCAGTTTTAGTGAAAACCTATTTAACACGAAAGGCCAATCTCAAACTGTGAAACAAATCACTAATGGGAAGACTAGTGAATGCATGAATCATACTGTGTAGATAAGCTTTTTTAATTATTAATTTATAGGGGAAAAAGCAGGCTTTAGTGTGCTGCTTTGAAAACTATCCAAGATGACAGAAACTATACAAGATGACAGAAAATAATGAAAGGTGGTAGAAATTCAATTTCATTAGTATTTATTCATTAACTGCTCCTAAATATTATGCACAAAATAAGTAATTGTCACAAGTGCTTAGATATATTCAAAGAGTTTTATTTGGACAACACTACAAGGGCACATATTTTCTTTTTCTAGAATTGACAGAAGAAGCAATGTCCTAGCTCTATGGAAAGACGATTCTTATCATACAGAATTACAGCATAAAACTCCTTGTTCTACAGCTAAGCAAGCGAGGCCTAAAAGTCATGTGTGCTGCTAGGCAGTGATGAGGACCAAGCTAAGCCTCAGACATATTTAAGCCAGGTCATGATGACTTCAATAAAATGGAAATACCATAAGGAGAAAACAGAGAGGCAAAATTCACTCTCAGAAATATCAATCAAAAGTCATAAGATAAAGTTTTCATATTAGTAAAAGGTTAAGGGAAATTTATTCAGCTCATATTCCTAGTCTATTTCTTTTTCCTTTCTGACAAGGTCTTCAAAGGTCACACTTTACAGTTTAGGCAAGTCAATAGATTAAAAATAAATATTAATGTGAAGCCCTGAGTTTAAACCCCAGTCACCACACACACACACACACACACACACACACACACACATCTATGTATTTATGTATCTATAGATC